AAAAACAAAACAACAACAACAACAACAAAAAAAAAAAACCACAACAAACAAACAAACAAACAAACAAAAAACGAACAAAAAAAAGAGAAAGAAACCACTGCTGTTAGAAAAAAGCCTAAACTTTTTCAAAAAGTCCAGTACGTCAGGATACAAAAATTCCATGCAAAAAGACCATACTAAAAGGAACACTTATCAAGCTCCTTAGGACGAGCTACTAAAAAATCAGCTTCCCAGTCCTGAACAAAAGCCCTTTCATGAAAGTAAGTGATATGGGTGCGAAATTGCACGATTTTTGTTCCAAGGACAAAGGTTGTGAAAACACGCTGCATACTGAATCTCTACCTTTACAAAACATTTTGGCTTTCAAAATCTTGACAGTAATACTAGAGTTTACACTTAACTCTACTTTTGTTCCCATCTTGCTAAAATATAAAGTTGAGATAAAATAACTGAGAGTAAAGCATTATTTTTTCCTGTATCTCTTGTACTAAACTCCTTATTCTGTGATAAATATTGTGTTTTAAGTATATTAAAACAAAAATATTGTACTGACTTATCTGTTTCTCCTGTAATAATTTTCAGGATAAGGAACATATCTTCCCAACCATTTAACAATGGTTGTTAATTAAATGCTGCTCATTCCCAATAACTGGCAGACATTTTTCCCTTTGAAAACTGCAAATAGCATTTCTTCCATACTTCATTTATGGCCATCCTCCAAACATGACACTGCTATAGCAACACCCACCATAATACCAAGGTTTTCACTGTAAGATAAAGGCAGTAACTACCCTTGAATACATAGAAAAGCAACCACATGAAGTTGTACTAAGACTTAATTTCAGCCAAGAAATTTAAATAATCCAAGATAAGCTACCTGTAGCTAAGAAATCACAAGACAATTGATTATTTTTGTGTAAATAATTTTTTAAAATATCATTGCTTCCTCAATATGGTAAGAAGTATCTTACAATGGATAATTACTTTGACAGTACCATCAAGCCTGACAAACAACTAAAAAAAATCCTGCAAATTTTTATATTACAAAAAAGTAGTATCATAGTAGAAGAACCAGAAAGGATCATAGTGGTTTTTTTTCTCATCTTTCATGAATTGTTAAATAAATATTTTATATGGGTTTGGCAAAACAAAGACTGAAGAACTCAGAAAACAGCATGCTATTCCAATAGCTTTGAGAAATCCTGCAAACAATCAACCCAGTTCCTGCATCCACGTAGCTGGAATTTTTAACTATTCTGAAGCCCCACAGTGTTTACTTCTAATTGTTGTGTTTGACACAGTACTAACTGTATTCACCAATTAAGTTATTTTAGATCTCCAATTCTAACAATGAAGACATATAGAATCAAAATTTAAATGTCGCTCCAACAATAACACAACAATATATGCTATTTGCAAATTTAAATAACAAAAGGTTTCTTAATACAGCCCAGCACCAAAACTTCCCAGGTTTTCAATATATGCAGAACTGTACATCTGTGATTATGTAAAAAGACCATAAAAAAAAAGTAGACACAGCTTTTTCATCTGACAAGTATCTAATTCTATCACACTCCTAGGAAACAGTGTATTTACCGTGAAATTAAGTGAGCGGGGTGTGTTTAGAGTCTACTTGAAGACAGGAAAAAAACATACCACAGAGCTAACAATAAGAGTTATCAAATAATAGCAAATATTTTCTCCTCCCTATAAGATCAAATTGTCATTAGTAAAGATGTACACTAAAAAGAGAAGTTAAAATCTTCCACCTGAAAGTTCACATTTGTCTCATTCAGAAGGACAGCAAGCCTTACAAGTCCTGCTGAGCTGCAGACAGTCAACCTTTAAAAGCAGTTATACTATCAGGCAACTGAGTTATTGATTTTTTTTCCTTTTTTTTTTTTTTGGGGGGGGGGGTGTTACATTCTGGATGAAAGATTACAGTTGTTCCGCAAAGTGGCAGCAACCATACTGAAACACTGTGCTAATCAAGATACAGATTCCTCAAGTAAATGACTAGTACAAAAGACTTGCAGGTTTACAGGCAGCTGAATACAGATAAGTAATTCTTAAGAAGGAAAAGAATTCTTCCTTGCTGTGGTTTCAACCCCTCTGATATTTTTCTTGAGTAAGAGAAACTTCAGTCATCACATTAAAAACTTCATTAAGACAGACAACTGTGTTAAGGTCCCAGAATTTCAGTTTCTCTTCCCTGAGCTTGAAACAAATTCACTGTGAAATGCAATCCTACTCTAGTACCTTCTCAGGTCATTACAGTAAGTCCTTCACAAAAGAGCCTGTTCATGCCAGGAGTACACGAAGTGGCTTGTTTGTTTTTCCTGGATATGTGGTAGGCGAAAGGTGGCCTGGGTCTGTTTTTGACTAATGGAAGAAAAATGCTTCTTTAGAAATAGGTGTGCTGTCTCTGGCAACTGGGAAAAGCTCAGGAAAAAAAAATGTACTATTTCCTTTTCTTTCAAAGATGTATTTTCTTCAACCTACAGAAACCCTTCAAGTCTTTCTCCAATCAATAAAGAAGGTCTAGAAGTTGTACATAGCCACCTCAAGAAATCTTTTAATCTGAAAATACACATGCTGTCAGACTCTGGTGCAAAATCCACTTTCTGGCTCAAAACCAGTTTGGCTGGTTTAAGTATTTTGATTTTTGTCTTTCAACTCAACTTCTCTTTGCAGCTTGCTATACTCCTCAAGACTAAACATTCAATAATGGACAAAGCAGATATTTTTTTCTTACATAAAACATGTAAGCAGAAGTCTATGGACTATTTCTGCATGTTACATGGAAAATGACCAGTTCCTGCATGTGTACTATCAGTTTTGAAAGGAACTTAACATCTTCTCTGGCAAGTGTTTTGGACCCACACACTAAAACTGCTAGAATAGTCTGGATAATACAATCCTGCTCTAAGTTGCACTTTTATATGCTGCTTACCAATTTACCTTATTAGTCATTTCTATTCTTTCAATTCTTTCCTAAAAATTCTAAAATACGCATTCAGGTTATGCAAAGAGTTCCTATGATGAATAACTTAAAAGTTTGTTGAAAGTGACATTACATCAGCATAAAACCTCCCACTATCTCAAATATGACTTCTGCAAAAGCTGTCTTGTTACTCTTTCACCCTGAGAAAGAAATATTCCTATGCCACCTCTAAAAAATTCTCTTAAGTCTTAAAATCAAGTCTTGAAAAAACATGTAAACAACTAGTGCTTTTTAGGCTGGGATTCATAAGAAACAGTAATTTTTCTTTTGTGTAAAGAACAAATCCACTGTAGAGCTAGTAAGTGTCTGTATATTTCAAAAGACTAAAAAGCCCATGTAAACCAACCATTCTGCTATAAAAATATTACTATTATAAGGGTGCATTTTTTAACAATAAAGATCACTTACAGTATAATTTCAGATAACTGAGCATATTTACTAGGTATTTGCCTGAGAAGTGGTAGAGCTTTTCCTCCTTCTCAGTTGCTCACTTTGAAGACTCCTCCATTTCTATAAACTATTTCAAAGCAAAATTTGTTTGCCTTCAGCTCTTTGACTCCCCTGACAATCACTCTGAAAGTTAACGCTCACATGTGGTGCACTCATTAATGCAAACTGAAGAAACAGCCTGAATATACTTGGCCAATGTGGTCCTAAGGGCAGGCAGCATTTAAGACGTCTGCATGCACCAATCCTGGAAGGATTTTGTCTCAACTGGACACAGGAAATACTTCTGGGAGATGTACAGAATGTGTATCTTGCAGTCAAACGCTCTCTGGAGTGCTCACAGAAGCCATATAAAACATGGGTTTGTAAGATCAATGCTGCACCACTCCTGATCACATGATGCATACTCCAATGATTTGAGAGACACTTACAGAACTCCTCACCATGGTCCAACAGACAACTAAATGTGACACAAATGTGCCATAAAAAACCCCAAGCAAGTCAATCACATGACCAAGACTGATGGTTAGCCAGAAAAAAGAATGCCTCAATACAACTGTCATGCTGCTTGACCAGTGCTTACACTTCAATAAAGCGCTGCGCAGTTTCTTTTCCTCTTTAAGCAGCGTACTGAAAATCCCCCTGATTCCACCTAATGAATATGGCACAAAGCACATTTAGATGGGTCAGTGAAGCCTTTCCAGTTAGCAGCTTTTTTGAAGACTAAGGTCTCTCTAAGGGTCAGGAAAGAAAAAAGGGAAAAAAAAAAAATAACATAGAAAGGTGGAAAGAGGAAACCAACACACAACAGTAACAGTGACTTAAACACTACAGTCATCAAGGAAAAATAAACACGCATTTATGTGACAACAATTTCCTTAGCCTATACAGGACTTTTATACTTGAGCCTTATGACTGGAATTTGTACCTCATTTCAACATACACAATTTTCAGCAGTATCAATCAAAACTGAGATATGACAGTACAAAACACTACAAAGTTACAAAATTTCTGACGCATTTGCCAACATGTTATAACATCAAAGATACAAAAACTCTGTCAGTAAGGCTGAAGATAAAAAAAGGTCTGACTCACGTGTTAGCAGTCCCCTGGAGCTAAAATTTCTAACTGCTGCAGAATTTTGGAGTTGAGAGTAAAATGTAAATAGAATCGTGTGGAGATAAGAGAACTGACAATGAGGACACCACACTGTCAGGCACACAAAATGCCTTCCATACTCCTGAGCAGCATGAGAACTTTAATTTCTTCACTTTAACTGTTACAGTAAAAACTTAAAGCACCATGCATTTATAGACAAATTCATGTTTAGCCGGCAAATATTAAGACTTAATCTGTCTTAACACCTTGACAGACATAGCAAACATGGACATATGCAAATATTCACAATTTTCCTTCAGTGCTACAGTAATGACCAACCTGACTCTTGAAATATTTCAGTTAAGTTTCAGTAATGCAGTAACAGAAAACAAAGCTTTTGGTAACAAAAATTAATTGCCTTTAATATTTAAATATCTAAACATGGTATTACCTTCATGGCATGGATTTCTTCTATTAATCTATCAACTCGTTTTTGGTTCTTCAGTTTCAAGTCTTCGGAACCCCTGAAAATGAAGTCTGTCTTCAGTAAAAAAAATAAAATCTTTTTTGCTCACTTTATTTCCCTGTGGGCTAAATAGCAAAATTAAAATATCACAACAGTGAGCATAAACACATTCCCCTGTTGTTAAATGAATATTGCAGCAACGAGTTGAGCACAATCTAATGTTTCTGCTGTTCTGAGCAGAGAAAAAAATACTGAGGATTTACCTGAACAAGTCAGACAAATGTTACTCTATTGGAAAACAGCAACAGTAATTCCTATCAACAAAACACAGGAGAAACTGATGTCTCAAATACAGTAACCATTTAAGTTCTGTAATATTTAAATACAAAAGATCACTGGGCTTGCTTCTTAATTTGCAAAATTTGCTAAAGTCGTGGGAGAAAAGTAGGCTCAATTTACACTTTGAACACAGTAACAGATGTACTTTTACTGTGTGAATAAGAAGTCATATGTTACTTCACGCTAGTTACCTTTAAAAACAATTTACAAATGTTTTAACTATTTGCTTAAATATTAATTCTTTTATTAAAAATTAAGTATGACTTGCGTATCTGTGCAAACTGAACAATATTTTTCACTTATAGAGCCTTTCAGAAAACTGTCGTGATAAAAGGTTGCACAATTTGCAATCAACAGCAAAAAAAACTAAAAGACCAGGTCTGACACCTTTAAAAGTGCTGTAAAGGCTCTCTTAAGTGATTCGGATTAGCTCCCAATACACTAAATCCCTTTAAAAAATGTTATCTCAATTCTGCCTAATGAAACTGCTTTTTAGTTCGCATTTTTAATTTATCTAAAGTGACATAAATAAGACAAACATTTTAAGTATTGCAGTGCCTTGAGTTTTAAACGTAATACATGTTTCTCCCACTTCTCCATTTTTGGGAAAACAATTAAGATGCTGTCTCACTTATGAACACACAAGAAACTGATATTTAAAACTGACCTTTTTAACTTTAATTTCCCGATGTGCCTGGTTAGTTTACGAATAGTCAGGACTCTGGCCTTCTTCACATCTTTTCTCATCTTCACAACCTGTCAGAAAGATGGAAGACATTATAAACCTTGTTTTCCTTGATTAGTTTCCATATACAATACATTCATTACCTTGACTTAAATTTTAGAAATTAGTTCAACAAAAAGAACTATTTTTGAAAACGGACTGCAGTCCCCTGCTAACCAAATCCCAGTTCAAATTAATTCAGATTTTAAAATCGAGCTGCTTCCATAAACACCAAAGGAAGAACAAGCAACAGTCTAAAAATGTGTCTGAGGTCTAAACAGAAGACCAAGACATTCCTAAGTAGCCATACTTTAATATTATTCTTAGAACTAGACTGAGTTGGAGATTGGAAAAGACTTACCTTTTGCCTTCACTTTGTTTATTTTTGTCCCAGTGAAGCAGCACCAGTACTTTTCCATTACGATATAATACATAAAATCATTTTCATTATGAAACACTTTAAAGATTAAGGGAAGAATCCGAAACTAAACATATTATTTGTTATAGGGTAGAATTTAAGATATGAAAATCTTTTTACATATTTGAATTGATTTTTGTTGAATACAAAATCAAAGTGATTTCCAACTCACTACCGACTCTTTTAACTTCCTACCCTACCCATTAGTCTGTTCCCAAAATTTATTTCAAAGTAGACAGTACTAAGTAAAACTTGACAGTGATGTTTTGGTCTTATTTCTCACCCCAAAATAAAAGAATACTAATTATTATTAGAAAGATGGTACACACAGACAAATCTTTGGAATCTTTTGCTATTACATACCATCATGGAAAATCTCAGGCCTAGGCATTTTCTTGTCAAGGACACACATTTTGGAGATAGAGGAAATCAAAAGTGACTTACTGCCTCTTATTTATTCAGCTGTATCTTACTATAACTATTAAGATTTTGAATCCAACAGTTAAACAGAAAATATGAAATATTAAAGCAAACAGAGAATCAGTCTTCTGACAAAAGGCCAAATTGCGCCAAGTTTATTCAGTGGGTTAAATTTCAAAGTAAGTTGGCACCTACTTCTCAAGGAAGTTCTTCTTTACTTCAGATTTCTATTTCATCTCCTAATTTCTCAAGAGATAACATCAAAATGATTGCTTGCTGGTGACTCAACCATCATTAGTTCTACCAGGAATATTAGTATTATAAACCTGCATCAATCTTGACCAAAATACAAAAAAAATAAATCTTCAGGTCTCACAGAGTATTGCAAACCTACAATGGGAAGTTTGTCTAGTATGTATGACTGTGCAGAGATCATAGGCAAGAGTGTATTATTTAATTAAAAACAAACAAACAGCAACAAAAAAAAACCCAGAACAAACAAACAAAACACATTTTGCACACCTGATTATGCCTGTAGCTAGGTTACCAACACAAGCAATGTACCTTGTGTACTCTGAACTGTACTCAGCAGGCTCTACTGAAGACTGAATCTGTCAAGAGCAAAACAATTTCTAGAGAGGGGCACACACCAATTTTCAGCCTCACCTCTCCCAGTGCAGAGAAGGAGCTTGTTGAGCATCACTCCCCTGAAAAATAGGAAGGGGAATTGTACTAAAGCAGCATTACTGGTGCTTGCCCAGAGAGAAAGAAAAAGGCAAAAAGGGTTTTGGGGAGAAGAGTGACTGAGTTAAAATTAGTCTCCTGTTCTAAAATTGGTCCAGCAAAGCTTACCCTAGTGAAAATAACTGTCCATACAGGCCTAGCTACAAGCATTTCTACTGCAGTTAACAGCAGAAGCCACATGCTAAAAAGCATCTGTGCCGATTCTGTTAGCAGCACTCCTCAAACCTCCGTACACTAAAGAAAAAAATCCTGACATCACCATCTGCCACCTGAGCATCTAAACATTTCTTTTTATAATATATTAAATAGAATTTTTACAGCTGTCTGTATTACACTCTCATCCAAATGGAAGAAACAGAAGAAAGCATCTTCTGGTTGAATACCTCTCAGATATTATGTATGTTCAAAGACTTCGGCAGTTCAGATGCAAACTGGGTATGCCTTCTTAGAAAGTTTGTGAGGAGGGGAGTGTTTTGGTCCGTGGTTTATTGGGGTTTTTTAATAACCATTAACAACATACACAAGCTACAAACTTATTTGAATTTAAGTAACTCATTTTTTTACATATTAGTTAGTGCATATCCAAATACAAAGTATATTTAACTTTAAAAAAATACTGTCATGTTTTAATAGAAATATTTTAAAACACACACAGCATGTTTCCGAGGTCTACAAGAGCCAAACCCCAGCCACGCCTGCTGCCAGCCAACAAAGGCCATATAGACATATGACAGCAGGAATGAGGGACGGTATTCACTCTTTGGCAGACTGGGAATATCAGTTTATGTAATCTGCAGTCACTTCTTTCACACGGGACAGTATGCATCACTGTGTTCTTGGAAGTACTCAAAGTTCTCAAGAAAGCACTCAGCTCTTTGGGCCAGAAATCAAAAAAGTTCTGCTTCAGATTTACCGTGTGCCTGAAACAATGAGGCTTAAACCACAAGGGTGGCTCCTAGGACTCACTGATCTATCCACCTCTAGTATTACAAAGCCAGATAGGCAACTTCCTCTTGAGCTGGGAAAAAAAACGCAACAACAAACCAAAAAGAAACCCAGTAACAAAAAAAATCAACCCACCAAAACCACTGGTAATTTTGAAAAATAGTAACAAATATTTACTCATAATAAGGTATTTTTTTTATAAACAGGTTAAGAAAAGATAACAAGAAAAGGAGAAGTCTTTGCATTGAAACTTAGCAAGGCTCCAGTGTAAGTCAAGATAAGACCGATGCTTTCAGACTGGCCAATAAAGATTTTTAATCACCTTAAGAGGTTGCAGTAAATACAAAACAATAATTATAAACACAGGCAAACTTCAAAGTAAGTAATCTCTTCTATCAATAGGAATGCATTATAGGATTCCTGGAAATTCAGGAAGCCTGCAATTTTAAACAGAAATAACCACTTCAAGGACTCCTTGCAACAAGAGATGTTTCCCACTGTTGAAGACATCTATTTCGTAGGAAAACACTATCTGCAAGATAATCAAGACACTACTGTTTATTAATGCAAACAAATATCTGTGTTTATAGATGATTAATACACATTTCTTAACTAAAATTCTTAAATAGTAAGGATAATATAAAATAATAGAAAATATATAAATTATTACATCTGAAAGAAATCATAGAGGAAATTAACTCACTTTTAAAAAACAAGCCTAGGTAGTAACACATACCAGCCATGTGCATGTTTCGAAAGCTATGGTTAGGTATAACAATCACTTCCATTCTGCACTGTGCATTTCACAGTATACTAGAATCATTCATATAGATCATAAACAAAGATGAAGTGCAAAAAGTTCCATAGCTGCAGGTATACACAAATAGAGGCCTCCATCACCTCAACAGCTTACAAACTACAGTATGCACTGTCACAAAACATGGCACAAACCCGCCATTTCAAGCCATACAGAGATAGTAGCAGCAAAACAAAGAGCACAGCATGGGACAGCAGATTATGAGCCAGACAAGGCCTAGAAATCACCTCCTGCACTTTGCCTTTGCCCAAGCAGTGTATGTTACTGAGGGGGATTATAACAGGAAATGCTGTTACCTACACTAAAGTGATCTTTGCTCATACCTCTTGATACTCACTGCTGTCAAACCAAGGGGATTTCCAGAAAACAATGTACCTAACAAGTGTGTGTTTGAAGGCATCACAAGAACTGTATTTAACTCAGAATTTTAAACTGAGGAACGGAGAAACCAAAAACTTCAGCCACTTTGCCTTCCTATTCCAGGTTGCTCTGGCTCCTGAAGGGCGAATAACCATTTCCAGACATTGTTCCCTTTGTGTGACAGTCCAGTCAAGCCTTCCCCAACCCTCATCATGTCCAAGCCTTTCGCATGTCCAAGCCTTTCGCATGCCCAAGCAGGTGGAATAAAGGGAGAGAAACTGACACAGGATTGCTTGATCATATCTTTGATCTCTAAGTTTACACCCCTCTCCGCCCCCCTCCCTCTCTGTAAAAGTTTGGTTTGAATGATGGCATTTCTATCACAGATACAGAATACTTAATTTCAACTTACAAAAATCTTTGGAGGGGCTGAATCAGGCCTAACTCAGTGCTGGTCTTACTGGAAAGGGTTTCTGATTACTAACATTACCCCTTTAAAATTAATATGACATTGTTACTGTGTATGATACAAGATAAACACGTGTAATAGAACACAAAGTCATTTTAAGAGTTCCCACACAATTAAGTTGCTGCAAAAAAAACCCTTTTGTGAATATTTTCATGTTTCTTGAAGAGAAACCTAAGGTATTTTTAGATGAAAAAAAAATAAAAACAAACTAAACTCTGGTTTAGGTTCCAAAACTCTAAATCACTATGAACAATCCACGTATTGGTGATGACAACAAAAACACACAAAGCAATGCGGACATAACAGTATAGGCACAATATTACAATTAGAAACCACATGACTAGTCAAAGGTATTTGCCTTCACATTTTTAACACAACAGCAGCAAAGTTCTCAAAGGAACACTACATTAGAATAAAATGTTATAGTTGGCCACTTCTGAAACTTGTTTTGAGGTCTGTACAGGCAACATGCCTCCAAACCAAGCTAGTGTTCAGCCAATTAAAAAAAAAAAAAGGAAAGTGTGACTAAAGATTTGTAGATGTAACAAGAAAAGTACGTGACTGAACTATAGTAGCAACTATGTTTAACCAAAAAACTCATAACTGAAAAACAAACACCACACCATTCTTCAAAAAATATTAAGCCAACAGATTAAGAGAAAAAATAAGCAATAACGTTTCTGCCCATTACTTTTTTTATATATTCTATGCAAAACCCCTGAAATACTAGAACTACATATATTTACAATATGAAAAGCTTTTTTTATGCTGCTATGTACAAAAACTAGTACTGTACATGAAAATACCTGAAAGACACTGAATGTCTTACATTCTTCTTAACTCAAAGTTAATAAAAGTT